TTTAATGCGTTAGATCCATTTTATCTCTACGTTTTTGAAGACATTTATATCATATTTTCGGACGGGGAGGTACCGATTATGCATTTTATATTTGGATCTTTAATGTTAATCATTTATGAATGTTATTTGGTTGTACAATATTTTTAGGTTGTAAAAAAGTTTTTATATTTTATAATTCAGTATTCGTGAATTGTTCTTTTTGTTTCTAAAAGTTAGTACTATTTAATATACGTGTAAAGCTTTCATTGTCATTTTCTCGTAGTTGCAAAGGAGCTTATGTTTAGGCAGCGTTCATAGTTTAAGCATACCGCATTGTTTACATTTGATAGAAAGCAGAGTATGCGCCGGTTGGGCCACTCCTCTCCACTCCCACTCTGACGTCACAAGATGGCGACTGACAGTTGACATGACATTTGACATGACAGATTTGACAGCTGTAAGTCGTCATCTTTTGACGTAAGAGTGGGAGTGGAGGGGGTGGCTCAACCGGCGCATACTCTGATACATACATCTATATTTTACGCGAATATTATGGTACCGTTCAAAATCCGTTCAAAAGAGGAAACAAAAACATTGAACTATATTTTTATAATCGTATATGGTAATAAATACATAAAGATATGAAACATTTTTGCATTTAAAGACCACAAAATTTTTTATTAACCGTTGATATTATATTTTTGTAATGATCTAGTTTTTATACTAAAATATATTTTTTTGATACTCTTATATGTTTATATTTAATGTTAAAAAGCTGTCGCAATGTTGTAATGTTAGTGTATAAGCTTTAAATTATTGACCAATAAATACATATTCGAATTAAATTTAGTCTTTTAATTGTATACCTTTACACTAGACTTGTAAATCAAGAGAAATCATCACCCATCCAAAATACGAAAAAGATGATATCTTTATTCTCTACGAAGGGAAATGTTAAAACGAAGAGAAAGAAACTATGAATAAAATATTATCTAAAAAAAGGAAAGACGTAAGAAAATTGAATACAGAAATTATAAGAAAAGCCATAAAAACAATCTAAATATGAAAGTGCTGCGAATGAAAAAACTGTCAAACGGAAAGACAGATTTTTAAACTACGTAAAAGACAACCAAGGTTTCCCAACAACAAATAGGGAATAACTGCTGAAAAGAATAACTACACAATTTTTCCACTAAACTATAGTATACAAGTAGTCGACAAATACAGGAGAGTCAACAGCATCAGCGAAAAGAATAATTAAACAAGGATCAGAGTTTATGTCCGATATATCACAAGAAGAAATCAGAAGCTCATAAAAAAAAGAAAAATACCAAGGGTTGGAGAGGCTGTAAAACTTGGAGGAGACACTATTAAAACGCATGGTACAATGAAAACTGTACCATGATTAAAATGAATTTAAGACTTGATGGATTTAATCTATATCTTGAATCTCCATTTATAAAAAGGTTTAAATAACTTTCTTGTTTTTAAATTGATCTTTTTTTAAAACGATTTCCGGAACAGAAATCGAAAACGTGAAAACCAACATAAACTGTAATTTTTATTACAGTCAAATTTTGGGTTAATACCATGTAAATAATATTTGTTTTTGTTGATCTTTCTTTCGGCCAGGGCTTCCTTAGCTGAGTCCAAGATGTTTTCTGCACTTTTTACGCAGCTTTCCCCGATTCCATCGATTTTGATGATATATGTGTGTCTGCATCTTTCTGGTCTTATGTTTGGTTATACATACCTTGTTGAGTCCACCTGCAGATTTTCAATGCAGGTGGATATATTTCCGTATGTCTGAAATCTGTCCACCTGCAGATTTCAGACATACGGAAATATATCTTCTTCTTCTTCTTTCTCTTTATAAGCAATTTTGCTTGTTCATTGGCTGTTTAATACCTCTATACTTACTTTTACTTTTTCGAGTCTGGATCCGACTACAGTTTTTCTACCCAATATCGGGCTACGTCTACAGCCTTTGTATTTGCGAGCCATAAATCATCGAGGGTGCACTGTGATGGGCAAAGTCTGCATACACTCAGGTGCTCCACGTTCTATATTTCCCCACATTCACAGAGTGCCTCGCTATCTGTCTTGATGCCCCATTTAATGAGGTTCTGTTTTAGAGAGGCAACACCTGTGCGCATGCGGTTGAGTATCCGCCAGGTTCTCCAGTCCAAGTTCATTCCATTGGGTCATTCTGGATGTAGGGGGAACACTTCGGGTGGTTCGACGCTGACATTTCTCATAAACCTTTTCCTTGATTTAAGTCGGCTGATTCCTGGCGGTTCGTCAAACCCGTATAATTGGTGCCGTTCATCGAAAGTTTGCCTGAACTTCTCCACATATTGTGAGGCACATCTACTGTCGTCTGGTGATGCGAATCCGGCTACCCGTACAGTAGGTGTAGAGGGGTAGGCTTCATACAAGCGGTAATGATTCTACATGTTTCATTTAACGCCTTCTAACCTTCTATAGAAGGTTATCACTCATCATCTGTCTCACCAGATTGGTGACTTACCTCTTGCTATTTTGACGGCACGTGTTCCCTCCATTCTGTTTATGTCGGTATTCAATTTTTTTTTCTATTTTGTGTCCATTCATTTATACACTGTACGTTATATTTTCTTCGAATGTCTTCACTTCTCTTTCGATCTGTCAGCGTATTTTCTGTTATTCTTCCAGTACTCTCATCTCTGCCGTTTTCAGTAGTCTTTGCGTTGTGGCTGTATCGGGTCTTGTTTCTGAGGCATATGGCAATATCTGGTCTTACACTGGCTTTATAAATTTTTGACCTACTCTGTGTCATCAGCTATGCTGATGATACAGTCATAATAGCTGATAGCCAAGAAGCGCTACAACGACTAATAGAGAGAATAAACACTGAAGGAGAACGACGGAGCTTGAAGATTAATATAGACAAGACGAAGGTAATGGTGGTTAGTAGAACACGAAATATGCAATTAAATATAAGAGTAAACAACAAGAACACCCAAAAGGTCCTTAAGTTCAGATATCTCGGTAGTTGGATAACTGAAGATCTAGATCCAGACATAGAGATACGTAGCAGGATTGAGCAAGCCAGTGTAGAAACCTGGACCATAAAGGCCAATGTGATGAAACGATTGGAGACTTTTGAAATGTGGGTATTTAGAAGACTACTATTGCTCTAATTGCGCATTGCAGTAAGATACTCTTACACATAATTCTCGAGAGGATAAAGCCCTTTTTACTACCTAACATTGCGGAGGAACAAGCAGGTTTTGTCCCCGGACGTGGTACTAGAGAACAAATTTTAAACGTACGACAGATTGTAAAAAAAATCCAGAGAATTCAACATCACAACATATTTGTGCTTCATAGATTATAGTAAAGCTTTCGATTTGGTCAACTGGAGTAAAATGTGGCAGGTTTTGTCTGAAATGGAGTTCCCAATCATCTGATACTGCTAATTAAAAGCCTGTACAATACCAATTATGCCAGAGTAAGAATAAATGGGGAACTAACCGATAGTGTCAGGGTCACAAAGGGCGTGAGACAAGGCTGCATACTAAGCCCAATTCTATTTAACATCTATGGTGAATGGATAATGCGGAAAGCTACTGAGGACTAGAACGGTAGCATCACCATTGGCGGGAAGAAGATTTGCAACTTGAGATATGCAGATGATACTACTATCCTCGCTAGTTCTGAAGAGCTAACAACAATCAAAATCATTTGGTCATGATAAACAATATCGCTGTTGTAGATAAATTTGTGTATCTGGACCCATTAATAATCAACAAAGGAGGCTGTACTGAAGAAATAAAGCGGCGGTCAGCAATCGCAAAAAGCGCTATGGCAAAATTAATAAAAATTTGGAAAAGCCATGACATAACTACCGATACAAAAATGAGACTAGTAAGAAGTCTAGTTTTTCCAGTTTTTACTTATGCATCGGAATGCTGGACCCTTACTGAGAAAGACAAAAAGAACATAGATGTATTTGAGATATACTGCTGGAGACGAATGCTGAGAATACCATGGGTGGTCCGAAGAACAAATGAATCCATACTGGACCAGCTAAACATAAAGAAAAGACTAAGAACACAAATATCAGAACAAATAATAAGCTATTTTGAACACGTGCTTCGAAGAAATGGTCTTGAAAAACTTACCATCCAGGGAAATGTAGAAGGCAAAAGAAATAGAGGTAGATCTTTCACACGATACACGGACAATATTGTCGTTACCATTAGCGCTCCATTGTCAGAATGTGCTAGAATGGCAGAAGATAGAAAAACGTGAAGGAACATTGGAAAAATTAGCTAATAGCTTCATGATACCTGCATCAGGTAAACGACTAAGAAGAAGACTACTTAAAATTCCCTGGACACATCACATAACAAATGTGGAAGTATTAAATCGAATGGGCAGAGAACGAGGATTGCTGCCAATAATAAAAAGAAAAAAAACTGCTTATCTGGGTCATATAATTCGAAATTCTAAGTATCAGTTCTTAAAGCTTATTATGAAAAAAAAGATAGAAGGAAAACAAGGCATCGGAAGAAAGAAATACTTTTAAAAACATAAGGGATTGGAAAAACCTCGATGCCCATGCACTTTCTAGAGCCAGTATGCCAGAATTGTCGCCAACATCCACTAATTGGATAGGTTACCATAAGAAGAAGAAAGAGCATGACTATCTGGGAGATAGATGAAGAGAGGAACATTAAAAGACGTGAAGAACAAGTGTTATTTTCATCTCATATTTAAAATAACAGCTGAGAAAAATCTATGTTCAATAAAACTAGATGTTGAGTATTCCATCAAATTTATTTTAATATAAAGTAATAAGTTATAATAAAAAGTTAATCTACTTTGTAACTTACAGAATTGTGTTTTTTACTATTTCAAAATAAATGAATAGTACGTTAAAAAAATATATCTGTGACTTTGATGATATAAAATTAGGTTTGTATCAAAACATAATTTTATTTTAACTAACAATTGTTAAAATACAAAAGCATTCACTATCTTGTAGGAACAAATTTTGCCCGATCTACATCCGAATATATCCTTCTTTCTGGATTTTTTCTTATATCATTTACTCTTACATCTGTGGAAACCCTTAACGGATATCTTGGATCCCTTCTATCCTTCGGATCATTTTCTTGTCTGGGATCGTCATATAACCTATCTCTGTAAGCATAGTGGTCTGGAGGAGCATATCTTTCGTCATATCGGTTTCTGTAGTCGTAATTGTCGTAAGGACGTCTGAAATCATCATCCCGGGATATTCTAGTGATTTCTGGAAGTGTGGCGTAGTATATTATTCTTCTTCTGTTTGGACCGCTGGTAGATTCTGGTTCATAATTTCTGTTGTACTCCGGATAATCTCTGTACGAATCCCTTTGGGCACTTGGATATCTGTCATAATAGCGTCCCCTAAAAATAATTAATTTTTAAATTTTTGTTTAATTCTGTATACAGTGCTTTTTAGATAAAACTATCCACTTTAAATAAATTTGAAACTTCTAATTTTTAGGAAAAACGCAAAAACACGTCAATAATATTTGAAGGGGGAGACATTATATCATATATAAGGTTGCTGGGCAATGCACCCTCTAACCCCCCGTATCATCCCTTTATTTTTTTTAAATTACTTCCCCCTTTTTTATTTAATATTTGGATTCTCCTCTTTGTACTGATTTCAGAAATGATGCTTGAAGTGATTAGTTTATGAGAAAAATAAATACAAAAGCAAGAAAATTGAATTAAAAAAAATTATTTAACAATTATATTACACACATTTAGAATGAACAATTCACTACTAAAAATTTGTACAATAATTGTTCAAAATGACTGCCCTTCACTTCCATACAATAGTACAAACTATTTTGAAATTCTTCTCTGACATTGTTTAACACGTCTGCATTTAATTGGTGACATTCATCCTCTATTCTTTGTCATAAATCATCTAGAGATTCTGGTTGAGTAGAATAAATTTTTGTTTTTAAATACTCCTATAAGAAGAAGTCTAGGGGTGTTCAATCCGGTGATCTAGGTGGCTAATCCATCATCTGTCATCTTTTACCTATCCAAGCACCGGGAAACGATTCGTTTAAAAATTATCGCACAGGTAAAGCAAAGTGTGAAGAAGCACCATCATGTTGAAATACAACCAAATCTTCGGAAAGGTTATCATTTTTAAATACTATTGTTCTAATACGATCAACCGATTGCCTAAAGAATTCAAGATACGATGCACCATTTAAGTTTCCAGTGATAAAGTAGTGTCCGATAATTTGATCACGTAGGATACCATACCATACGTTCAACCTTTAAGGATGCTGTGTGTGAAATTCGCGTACAATATGTTTATCACTCTCAGCCCAGTATCAGCAATTATATCTGTTCACCAAACTGTTTAATAAGAATGAGCATTCATCCGAGAAGCAAATATTGTAGCAGAGATATAATGCCGAGATGCATTGTTTCATTAATTAGCAAAAGTCGGGACGACGATCAAAATCTTCTTCATTTAACTCTTGTACTAATTTAATTTTATATGGATGAAACTTAAATTTATGGAGGACTCGGAAGGCTGTAAAAGATGAAACACCGATTTCTCTGCTTATTGTTGACAGTGACTGTGATTGTTAAGCCTCTAAGTTAACTTGCCCTAAAACAGCTACTTGGATTGTTTCGATATTTACAAGTCCCTGTCGGTGATGTTTTTTATTGCAAACTGACCCTCTTACTCTAAATTTCTGCATCAGTTCAATCACATACTTAAGTGTTGCATGTCTATTGCGGTGTGTTTCATTAAAAATTCTAGCAGCAGGTCTTGCACAATTATTATTTTTGTGGTATAAACCAACAATTTCAATTCTTTCTTGCAAAGTGTACACCATTTCAGCGATCAAATTGCACACGTATCAGAATAGACTGTTACTTACAAGTTATAACTAATTGTCGTTGGCTATTAACCGATTAAAACATATGTAAATATAATATTGAATTCCTTTGATAAAACTTTAATAAAAAGTGAATTTTTTTGTTTCTTGGTTTTTGAAGGTACTACAAATAGTAAGGTTAAATATTTAAAATGTTTAAATTATGCTACAACCTATTTTATTACAGTCAATTAAGGTGAGAGAGGTACTATCTTCTTAACAGAAAAATTGTATCTCATAAACTATCACTTCAAGCCAAAGATAAAATCAGTACAAGAAGAAGAATCCAAATATAAAATAAAAAAGGGAAAAGTAATTTAAAAAAAAATAAGGGTTGATAGAGGGGGTGAGAGGGTGCATTTCCAAGCAACCTTTAATATGATATAATGTCTCCCCTTCAAATATTAATTGACGTGTTTTTGCGTTTTTCCAAAAAACTAGAGGTTCAAAAGTTATTTAAGGTGGATAGATTTATCTGAAAAGCACTGTATAAATTATTTTACATTGTTATTACCAGAAATAATGTTAATATTAGCAATGTAAATGATTTAAACGTAGAAGTGGCTATGAGCTCATTTGGATACGGTGAGCGAAATGATAGAGGAGGTGTGCTACTACATTTTTTGTTACATCATCGGTTCTACGTGATGAACACGTTTTTCAAAAAGAACCAACAATGTAAGTGGACGTGGGCTAGTCCAGATGGCATAACAAAAAACGAAATTGATATCATCATCACCAACAGAAAAAATATTGTCCAAGATGTTACAGTAGTTAATAAAATCACTGTTGGGAGTGACAATCGGTTGGTTAGAGCAAAAATAATGATCAACATTAGACGAGAGAGGACATCAATAATAACAGAGAGGCATTCTAATAAATGGAAATCGATAGAAGATAGAGTAATTTATCAGAATCTCATAACTTCAGAAATGAAAGAAGTAGAACACCTAAATGAAAATGCATTAGATATAGAGGTAACAAACATGCGAATAAATAGTACGATTCGAAAAGGAAACAGGAAAAACAAGATGGATAAACTCACTCAAGCTACTAAAGATCTTACAAACAAAAAAAGAAAATTGAAAGACAAATATACGGATAATTTTGTAACACTTAGACAGTTAAACAAAGATATCACAAAATCCATTTGAAAAGATGTCAGAAATTACAACACTGAATACAAATACTCAAGCCATTGATAAAAATAAAATTTTAAAGGTTCTGTGCCGACAAATGAATGAAGGATCGAAAATTTTTCGTAAACTTGTAAATAAAAAAGGAGAAACTACAACAAATAAGGAAGATATTTTAAAAGTATTTACGAAACTGGCACAGCTTGTGTCCACCTTAATGAAGATACCAAGAAGATTCGAATAGAACGTGGAATTAGACAGGTTGATACTATCTCCCCTAAATTGTTCACAGCGGTTCTTGAATACATGTTCAAGCAAATAGAACGAGAGGAAAATATGGGAATTAATATAACTGGGGAAGATCTGAACCACCGAAGATTTGCCGATGACATCGTTTTAATATCTGATAGAGTTGATAAAGATACAAAAATTTGTGTCAAAAGCAATTGGTCTTTAAATTAACATCTCAAAGACAAAATCTATGACCAACCTTGTAGTCAGCAGTAAAATTCTGATTGAAAACCATAGCATTGACCAAATAATAGCTTACAAATATGTAAGGCATGAGATTCGCTTAGGCCGAGATAATCAGACAACTGAAATACAAAGGATAGGTCTCACATGGGCTGCCTTTGGTAGATTGAATAATATTTTCAAGTCTATCATCCCAGTTTGTTTAAAAGAAAGGTTTTTAACAAGTGCGTTTAACCGGTACTTACATATGGTACAGAAACAATGACTCTGACAAAAAGAACAATAGATAAAATAAAAGTTACACAACGCGCTATGGAAAGATCAATATTAGGTATTACCATCAGAGATAAAGTACCAAACCTAGAAATAAGAAGAAGAACAGGAGTCACAGATGCAGTTGAAAAAATAGCCAGGCTAAATGGGTTTGGGTCGGACATTATTCCAGATTAACGTCCAGTGGCGATGGCGAATGGCGACCAAGGCAAGAGGCATATCGAAGCAGAGGACAACCACCGACTAGATAGACGGATGATATCAAGCACGTCACCACAAACTGGATGCAATAAGCTCAAGATAGAAATAGGTGGAAAATTTTACGGGAGACCTACGTTCAGCAGTGGACAAATATAGACTAATTCATATCGATCACAGCGATTAAGCAAATGCAACATGTTTTATTTTAATCGCGACAAGATTGTCAAGCATAGATATGCATCCACTTGCGATTGTTTATACGCGATTCTAAAGCCAGCTAAGCCTGGTGTGTCTTCAAGAATATTTATTTTTAAAATGTCACACAACGAGGAATATTTGGAATGAAAACTCGAATATCCGGGGCATATAATGAGAGGAAGAAGATACAGGATAATGCAGTTGATACTCAACGGAAAAAATCGACGAAAAAAGTGGAGTTGGTAGAAAAAAATATTCATGACCTCGAAACCTTCGTTATTGGACTGACTTATCAGCCGATGAATTATTACATGCCGCGCAAGATCAAGAACGATATTGCAAATTGTCATGGAAGCTACCCACGCCTGAAACTTGGGCACGGTACTCAAAGAAGAAGAAGAGGAATATGCTAGAAATGTTGGGTGCATTTTGAGTACTAAAGATTCTGATTTTAAGTACTATTAATTTTGAGTATTATGGTTTAAAGATCATGCAAAACTGCCCTTTAAAAATCTTTGATTTGTTAACGGATAAATCTCCAATAATAATGCTTTCGTCGTTTAGTTATGGCCCGAAGTGAAAGAGCGATCACAGTATAAGTAGTTATAGTAGTTTCGTTTTCATCCATTGGAAAACTGATGTAATTCAGCGATTTTTTTTTGTCGCTGCGACTAAAAATCGCAAGTGGAGAGCTAGCCTTAGTGAGAGCGCCCACCAAAGTGGCGTGGCAGTGGCAAGTAGCAAGTAGCACGCGTCTAGCATAATGTAACCAATCCTAACGAATGATTAGAATGAATGACGTTACTGTCATTTTGGTGTAAACTGAGTCATTCGTTTTCATCGTTACATTATGCTAGACGCGTGCTACTTGCTACTTGCCACTGCCACGCCACTTGGTGGGCGCTCTCACTTAAGTGTCAATTTTAATTTGGTCCAGGGCGCACTTTAAAAATTATTTCGGTACGAAATAATTTAAAATGAAGTAAACTTTAATTTAATTACAAAAATAAAAGCGTGTATTATTTTTAAATACATTTCAGTATTAATAAAATATAATACCGCTTTTACCTGGGCGTATAATTTCTGGCAAACCTCGGTTGATAATAATTCTGTTCAGCTGACAAGTCGGTAGGAGAATATTTGGTATTGGGGCCGTATCTGGCTTCCTTGTCTAATTTATATTCCAAGTGGTCTCTATCCTGCATTCCGTTCGTAACAAAATGAACTCTTGGTGCCCTAACAGAGTTTGAAGCAAGTTGAATGTTGTCATCGAAGTTGGTTTCGTCACGTTGAACTGGATAAGATTGTTTTACCCATTGTTCTTTAGTCGCACCACGAGTTTCTCTGGTGATGTTATTCCTGTTTGTAGACTCTGCAGCAAGGATTTGGGATTGCCCGATAATACCGTGAGGATCTGCTTGGATAAATGTACCAGCTGATTGAGACCTACAAAAATAATAAAGATTAGAAATTACTTTGTATAAGCATGTCTATTTTCAAAAAAGTTTCTGTTGGGAGCAAAACAGCACAAGGTTTATCGACAAATCGTGAAATAATTTTTTTAATTCAATTTCGTTTCTGATTTTTTATATTATATGTGTCATTTGATGAAGATCCGAGTGGCTGCTACTTTTGATTCCAGTTAAAAACAATTCCCAATACAAGTAAAAATAAGAACAATTAGAAATTTAATACAATATAAAATGTTTACAATATTATTAACTTTAAGAAGCTAAGATGGATAAAGTCGACACCTGTAGGGGTGCAAAAAAATGCAAAGAAGAATAAAAAACAAGTTTAAAAATAAGTTTTGAAACAATCTATGATGATTAAAGAGACTACTACTGGCAACAAATCAGTAAGTAGTGCTGCAAATGGTAATATTGGGGAGATAGACAGGACGCGGACAGAGCCAAAAATATTATTATATTATAATGTACCTAAAAGCCATTCCTGTGAATCTAACATTCGTGCTGAACATGATAGAAATGAGGTCCAAGGAATTCTGAATTAAATAGGTGTAACGAACTGCAACTTTAAAGCTTTTTGTCCTGGTCGACTAACAGATAAACCGAGACCTCTTAAAGTCGCATTTAATGTTTCGGCAATAGTTATCTTATGTTTAAAACATCGTAGAGCTTTATTGGGTTCTAATTTGTGCATAAGAACTGATCTTACCCTTTTTCAGCGTGAGAAAGACGAGTTAGAATGCAGAAAGACACAGGGTGAGAAAGACTTGAAGATCAAGTACTTTATTGAAGTACCCAAAATCATTGTCGGTAAATGCAATAATTTAAAAAACGATCATTGACCTTATATTTTCAGAATGCTGGCGTCGTGTGCACCAAATTTTAGAATTTCAGACATGCTGTGAGTCTCTCTAGTTCTGTTATTATTATTATTGAAACATGGCTTGCATCGATGTCACTACCTGATTGGTGATATCAGCAGCTCCGGGCGTTCCGTTGGTCTGGTTGGCTTGTTCGGGCGTTACTTTGCCGATCAAGAGATCCAGCAAGTTCTTGGCGGCTGAGTGTTTGGCGTCTTTCTTCGATCTTCCGGTGCCGGTGGCCACCAGATCGTTGTTAAGGAACACGCGGTAGCGGAAGATTGGCTCGTGGATGGCGCCCTCGATTTGGACCAGTTCGTATTTAGGAGTGATGCCTCGACGGCTCAGCAACTCCTGGAGGACGCTGACGGGAGTCTTGCTGAGATTTCTTGAGAGTAGAGCAATTTAGCTTCTTCGTTCTATGATAACCTCTCAGTCGGCAGATTTCCGTGAAGTGGCCCGTGCCCCTTGCGGTTACCTCTTCTGTTGGGATGGGGGGCACCCCACCGCCGGATGGGGGTTGAATCGGTCCCGCTGAATGCATCATGGTCATGCTTTGGGACTCCATTTAGAGTTTCAAAGAAAGTACACGATAATCAATTAGACCTGTCAAAGAATCTAACAACAAGCTTAATGGCGGATACAAAAAGTTCCGGTCAATATTTCAATTGTAATGTAATGGAGTTTTTCTAATGCTAATGTAAGCAGCAGCTACCAAACTGAGAGTCACGCAGAGAAGAATGGAGCGGTCCATGTCAGGAATAACTCTCCGAGACAGAATAACAAACGAAGACATCAGGAGAAGAACCGGAGTGACTGACATCATCGAGAAGATAGCCAGACTAAAATGGAGATGGGCAGGACATATAGCCAGAATGAGAGATGGGCGATGGACAAAGAGGTTATTGGAATGGAGACCAAGGGAAGACAAGACAAGCGTCGGTCGACCACCTACAAGATGGACTGACGATTTAAGAAGACTGAATAAAAACTGGATAAGAGCGGCGCAAGATAGACGGGGTTGAAAACATGAGGAAGAGGCCTATGTTCAGCAGTGGACTCTTAAGGCTGGATGATGATGGCTTGCATCTACAATCTTAGATACTGAATTGGGATTGAGTGATTTTAATGTATATATATATATATTCATATATATATATATATATATATATATATATATATATATATTCATATATATATATATATATATATATATATATATATATATATATGAATATATATATATATATATATATATATATATGAATATATATATATATATATATATATATGAATATATATATATATATATATATATATATATATATATATATATATATATATATATATATATATATATATATATATATATATGAATGACAGGGACCGTCAAACTAGTTCAAAGACTCGTGGTGGTGGTGTTCTTATTGCTTTTCATAAACGCCTTCATTCAATGATTATTAGGCCTATCGATTCCTCTGTAAAACATCTTTTTACGTGGCACAAAAAAGTTTGTTATTGGCGCTGTGTACTTTTCTCCATGGTCATCTGGTTCAGTATATGAGGAGCATTTCACCGGTATATTGGAATTAGCGGATAGATTCAGTGATTGTGAATTCTGTATTTCTGATGACTACAACCTACCTGAGGCATCTTGGGATAATCTTAATAATGGTGTTACCGTTGAGTGTCCGCATCACTCTCCAGCAAATATTATTTTTACTTGCTACAATTTTCAAAATATGTCACAACAAGTAAATGTTTTGCCTAACCTTAATAATAATTTTTTAGATCTAGTTTTCTGTACTCAAAGGGAAGCAGTTGTGTCGATTTCGACTGATATTTTAATAAATATTTCGCAACATCATTTAGCTTAAGCTATATTGTTACATGCAGCCAATGTAAATTTGTTTCTTTTAAACAAGGTATTAGATGAATCAGATATTAATTGCTGCATAGACAATTTTATATGATGTCATCAATATCTTTGTTCCTTAATATTGTTCTGAAGCTATTTTCTTGTGGCATTGTAAATTAATTACTATTTATAACTGGGAATAAGCCACAATTAAAGATAAAAATACGTTTATTGACGTTTCAATTTCCAATTCGGAAATCGTTCTCAAACTACAAACGATTTCCGAATTGGAAATTGAAACGTCAATAAACGTATTTTTATCTTTAATTGTGGCTTATTCTTAGTTATAAATAGTAATTAATCTTTGTTCCTATCAAACGGTTTAAATAATTGAACTTTCATTTTTACAGAAAAAAATAGTTCACAGGAATTTTAAAGCATTAGGCAGCTCATATGAGGAATTTTCATTATCATTACAAGCAGTATGTTAGAAGAACTATTTCGAGAATATTCAAGCAAATCTTTCAAGTAATCCTTGCTCTTTTTGGAGGCATGTTAGTGGTACACGTACGTCTAGTGCTTATCTGAATATAATGTCTAATAAAGGTGGAAATGTAATAGCTCAGAGTGGTGATGAAATAGTCAATCTATTTGCCACTTATTTTTTACGTACATATATTGATAGTCAGTATAATTTACCTAATTTTCAATTGGACTGTAGTGTGGATTTCCAGATTCTGAAATTTAGTCTGACTGATGTTTTCGACTGCATTAAGAGTTTAAAAACTACATACTCTTCAGGTCCCGATGGTCTAAATGCAGCACTTATTAAGAACTGTATTTTTTCCCTTTGTAAACCTTTACAACAAATTTTCAATTTATCATTTTCATCATCTGTATTTCCACAATATTAGAAAAATAATTTTCTTACAAATAACTACAAATCTGGCAATCAAGTTTGTTAACAATTATAGAGATATAACTATTCAATCAGCTGTCCCGAAACTTCTTGATAAATTGGTATCGATAAATCTCTCCTGCAGAAACATTGATGAACAACATAGATTTGAATATAGTTGACAAGAAACTTGTCAATTACCAACAATACTTTTGTATGTATTTGAGAATAAAATTCAGGTCGAAAGCATTTACACTGATTTATCATAGGCCTTTGACCAGGTTAATCATAACTTTTTGGTCCACAAACTTCATGCATCTGGCATTGGTGACCCCATTGTTAATTGGATTAAAAGTTTTCTGACGGTACGTACACAGCAAGTTCATATTGACAATTATATTTCAAAAGAATTCCATTGATATTCTGGTGTCCCACACGGGTCTCATTGTGGTTCCTTGTTTTTTAACTTGTTCAGTAACGATATTGGTAAGGCTATCAAAAACTCACACTTCCTGCTATTTCCTGAAGATCTTCGTTGTATGCATGATAAATCGGATAGAGATCTCTTGCAAGATGATGTAAACAATATTATGTTTGTGGTCGAAACAAAATGGTTTAAGCTTAAATCCAACTAAATGTTCTTGTATTTCATTTGGCCGTATAAATAATCTAATAGCTAATAGATATGTTCTTAATGATGTACTCTTGGATTCAGTTACTAAGATTAGAGATTTGGGTGTATTATTGGATTGTGCATTGACATTTAGAAGCCATTTTCTTAAAATTAGGGAAACAAGATTTCGTAATCTTGGTTTTATTTATTGTAGCAGTCATGATATCTCACCTATTATATTTAAATTATTGTATTGCTCTCTGGTACGCTCAGGTCTTAAATACCTGAAATAACAGAATCATAGTATTCTGTTGTTTAGTCCTCATTTCATCAAGTCTACATTGATGGATTGAAGAGCGTCCAGCGTAAGTTTCTAAGATCTTTAGCTTTTAAAACACATATTAATATAAGAATGACTGAAAATTACTTCATAGATGATTCTGTAATATTATGTCAATTTATTATTCATTCACTAAAGAACTACAGGTTGAGAGCTGATCTGTTATTTTTGTTTAAAATTCTAAACAACGGTATTAATTGTCCCCCTTTATTGGCCAATATAGAACTCGACAAACTGCACTCTTTTATATTACTTTTCATAGGATTGATTATGCTTGACATTTTCCCTTGTCGAGAATGTTCAGCTCTTGCAATGACCTATTGGATCCATTCTGTCCAAATATGAATGTTTTCAAAAGACAACTCAAGCGTCTAATTGAACTAAATATGTGATATTTTTTTACCTTTTGTGATTTCATATACTCCTTAATGTAAAAAAATTTTGTAAATGGTTATACCGTTAGAATAAATAAATAAATAAACACAGAAGAGAAAAACTTACCTTAAATTTTGTGGTTTTGCAAGATCAGTTTGTAGAGCACGTCTAAATCTTAGAAAATCGTTTATCTGAAGAGTTCTATTTAAATTATTTTCTGTTTCATTCAGCTTTATTACAGAGGCATTGACATACCTATCTGTAGTATTTTCTTTGTCAACAGTAAATAGTTCTAGAGGTTGACCTATTTTCTCTAGAACCGTTATAGGCCGTTCAGTTGTAATATGTCGTTTAGACCTTGATTTAATAATTTGACTGGTCAGTTCTTCAAAATAATGATGATGATTGTTTCCAGTATTAATATTTGTATCTGAATTTGAGTTTCGTGCTATTGATAGTAGCTTAGGAGATCTTGGCATTAACTCAACATCAATTTCATCGTTTTGGTGATCGTTGTGTACGTACTGCTCGATTGGGATGTCTTCAAATTGGGATGATTGTTGGGCAACTGTATTCCAATTCCAAATTGTAAGCCAGACTATTGCATAATAAAAACATCATAATATATCTGAAACAAGAAATAACAAACATGATTTTATTAGTCATAATAATCTAAGTTGCCGTGCCAATGTGCAGTGCAGTGATTTCTCTGCCGGGTAGAGACTAAATCAGGGAGAAACCATTAAACTGGATAGAACTTCGCGTAGGGCGTATTGGATTAGAAAGTTTTCATTCTCGACATGGTATGTCACAATGGCTAATGGAGTACGTCCTGGTACACATAGACATATAGGACAAAACGATGGGTGTGAATAATATATAATCAAATAAACATTATGGATCAACTAATTATTATGTGGATAATTTATATATGGACTAGTAACCGTGAACGGAACTAGAACTAGAGAACCGGGAACGGAACTAGAGACAGGGTCAAGTAGTTTTGACATTTGTTATTCTTCTAGTTATACGATTTCTGGTGTTTCCTTTAGTTCTTTGTCTTGATTATCATGGTGATCTATACTTGTTAGTCGTTCTTGAATAAACGATAAATTGTAATGTGTAAAGTCTTAGTGAGAGCACCCACCAAACTGGCGTGGCAAGTAGCAAGTAGCATGCGTCTAGCATGTTACCTAAAATGTAACCAATGGAAACGAATGATTAGAATGAATGGTTTGGTGGGCGCTCTCCCTTATAAATACGTTACCCTAATAATATGACTTAGGGTCTCCATATAAGTCATTCAATAAAGACACACTATACAGAGTGTTATATTTAAAAAACCAAAGTGACTAATGATATCGGAAATGATAAATCTGGCAACGTTACAGACATAAAATTTTAAATCTTTATTTTTCAAAATAAGTGTATTCTTGTTATAGATAAAAATTCTGATTAATCAGAAAGTGGATCTGAAAAGAAAGATGCCCTTTTAAAAGCATTCAATCCATTTGAATAAGAGAGAATTCCGACCATGACTTGCCATCCAGTAGTAAGAAAGAAAAAGAAATTTTAAAAAGAGTAATAAATAATTTACTTTAGTATTTTCAAGAACAGAAAGTAGTCACTCCCAAATCGACAATGAAAAGAAATATCCTACTCAGAACAATCCACCAAACAAAGAAGAATTTCAAGAAATTGCATCTAAGGTCTGCTTGCCATTATGCTAAATTCAGTACTGAATTTAGCACTAAAAATATTGTATCTACAAATTAGGTGCGCGCGCCGATTCAGTACTAAAAATTAGAACATGTTCTAATTTCTTGTACTAAAAATGATACAATATTAACTAAAACTGAGGTTATGTTACGTATGTTTATGTTTTGTTTTTAAATATGTGGAGTCAAAAGCAAATAGAAAATTTAATCGAACTATATAAAGCAAATCCTTGTTTATATGTGCCAAAACATCCATTATACAAAAATAGGAATGGGAGAGTAAAAGCTTTGGAAGAAATAAAGGCGGAATTGTACAAACTCCTGTTTGTTTTGTTTACTCTAGTCCACTCTAATCATAAAACTATAAAACAAACTTCAGATAGGTTAGACTGTCAATACAAAATTGGTAGAGCGCATGCCTACAGGCTAATTAAAATCAAGATAGTTGCAAACACCAACATACATTTCTCATACTAAATCGACTCGCGCAACTAACTAATATTGTTAGCACTGAAATCAGTACTGAAATTAGCATAATGGCAAGCGGACCTAAAGAGAAGTAAATTCGGTTGCCGTAGAGTCTACAAGGTAAAAATGAACAGATATGGTCTCCTCAACCAAGGGCCTCTACTAAAACTCCAAAACGTAACTTTGTAACGTGCAACGTGCAAATGTGTAACCTATATTTCATTCAAGGACTCACTTATAATTCCAAGAAAGCACAAACTCCCTTAGATGCATTTCATTCTTTTATGAGTTCAAATTCTCTGGAAAAAATTGTAGGATATACAAATACTAACATTACTGTTAGGGCAAAAACATCAAGATAAATCGAAAAACTTACAAACTCAATAGTTATACGCACTCCTGGGACTTTTATTTCTGCTGCTATCCAAAAAGATATCACTTAGCGAAAAGACAATTGTATGTATTTAATATCTAGACCAGGCAGAAATGAAACAGAACTATTAGCAGCCATTCTTAAAATACAAAACTGCAAAACATCTTATAAGCCCGGATTATACCTAACAATCGATAAACAGTTACTGCTTTTATGGAAAGATGTCCTTTCCGGATGTATATCCCAAACAAGCTAGCCAATAATATGGACTGAAAATAATAATGCTGTTTGATATAGGTACCAAATAAATGTTAGATGCAGACTCGTAATTTAGGAAAGGGAACTTAAATCAACGGGAAGCCTCTATGAGAATATGTAAAATAATTAATTCAGGGTGTGTACGGAAGTAACAGTAACATTTTTTTATAGCCCTTTTTCTATCCGAATTGTCGAATAAAGGCCTCTCCCATTTCTCGCCATTCATCCCTGTTGTGTGCTAGGCGTTTCCACATTGGTCCTGCGACTCTTTGATATCGTCGCTCCAGCGCATTTGAGGTCTTCCTCTTGGTCTCTTCGCATCGTACGGTCGCCAGTTTCCGACTGTTTTGTTCCATCTACCATCTTCGAGACGTTCGTTGTGTCCAGCCCATTTCCATTTTAATTTAGCTGCTTGTTTCGCGGTGTCCTTTATTTTTGTTTTGTTTCCGGATTGCTTCGTTCGTTTGCCGATCTATTAGTGAGATACCAAGCATCTGTCGTTCCATGGCTCGCTGAGTTTTTCGAATCTTGTCCATGTTCTTTTTTGTGAATGACCAGGTTTGAGCTCCATAAGTGAGAACGGGAAGGATAAAAGAATCGAACACTTTGGTTCGAAGATTTTGGGGTATCTTTTTGTCTTTCAGTATGTATGAGAGTTTTCCAAATGCGGCCCATCCCATTCTTACTCGTCTGCTTATTTCGGTAGTTTGGTTTTCTTTGTTTACCTTGATATTCTGACCCAGATATATGTATTCTTCTACATGTTCCACTTTTGTTCCTTGGATGGTTATCGTCGGTTGATCATCTTTATTCGACATTAGCTTAGTTTTACTCAGATTCATTTTCAGTCCTTTTTTTATGGATTCCGTATGAAGCTCATCGATCATCGTCTTCAGTTCTTTCCAGCTGTCGGCTATTAGTACTACGTCATCTGCATATCTTAGATGGTTTAAATACTTTCCGTTTATCGATACTCCCTTCGTTTCCCCAATTTAGTGATTTAAAGATGTCTTCAAGTGCGGCAGTAAATAGTTTTGGAGATATGGTGTCTCCCTGTCTTACTCCTCGGTTGATTTTTATTGGCCTTGTTTTCATTCCGTTATCCATCGTGACTACCATTTCAGCGTGTTGATATATATTATGTATTAATATCTTATATCCAGAATCTATTCTGCTGTTGACCAGTGCTTCCTCAATAGCCCATAATTCTATGCTGTCAAAAGCTTTCTCGTAGTCTATAAATGCTAAACAGATTGGTAAATTGTATTCGTTAACTTTTTCTATTAGGATCTTTAGTGTGTAAAGTAACACAGCCATAGAACAGTAAACATAGCCATGGATAATTGGTTTACTTCAGTACCGTTAGTAACAAAGCTTTTAAAACGTCCTTACAATTGAACTATAGTTGGTATTCTACGGCAGAATGAAAGAAAATACTTCCCGAGAGGTAAAATCGTGAAATAGGTTATTCCATATTTTGCTTCGATGATGAAAAAACAATGGTGTCCTATACGACTGTGCTTCTTCTGTCGACACAAGGGTCTAGTAGAATGTGATTTAACAGGAAAGACAGATAATAGTAAATTTTTTAATGCAACCAAGTGTGGAGTAGATACATTAGGCCAAATGTGCGGCGACTTGAACTTCTCTCAAAAACAAGAGGATGGCCTCTTTGCGTGTTCTATAGTATGTTAAATATAGCTATATAGACTCTTGGATAAGTTATAATCATAACCAACAACAACAGCAGAAAAACATAATCACCAAAAAAATAAAAAATGATGGCTATTTTGTCCGAAAAACTGACCAAACCTTGGCTACAACAGCGGGTAAATGGACGACCAACTTTAAACTGCTCGATAAAGTTGGTTATTAAACATATTTTAAATCAGAAGCCGCAGCAAGAACGAATATGCCTTATTGGGTCAAAACGTGAGATGTGTTAATTTTCTCTGTCTAAAAAACGTCGAATGACAACCCATCATTACGAGTACTGCCGACGTCCATTTTGTGGTGAACATCGCGCTCTTTGTTGTTAGCTGTGCAGTTCTAAAATAAAGAATTTATGATTTTTTATTTTTAAGTTTTAGTAAGATCTCTTTGTTGAAAATATTTTGTAAAATTAAGTTACATAAAATACTTTTTAAGCGACCACATTTTTCTAAGCGTACTAAATTTTACGATGGTTAGTGTAAATTATAGAAATATTATACAAATTATAGGTATTATAAATGTATTACATATATGTCTATGGTGTAAATTAAGGTAAAGTTAAGGTTAGTGTTATAGGGTTAAGAGATAGGAATTTTCCTAATTTAAGAATAAGGTTGATAGAGTTCTTACTGAACGATTTTATTAAAAAACTTATAACCTTGATGGGAGAAATACAAAGAAGACGACTATCGAAATGAAGTAGAAAATTGAGGCACCAGAAGATTAAAGAGAAATTACCTAAAAGATGCAAATAAAAGAAAATAAACACGAACGATTGAATACAGCTATCAGGCAATACAAAAATAATAACATGTCACCAACACCCAGCCCTTTGCGTCCACTGCTGGACATAGGCCTCCCTCATTTTTGTCCATCGCACTTTTTTATCTATCTTAAGCACTTTTCATCCAATTAACCACTATGTACCACTAAAAAGAATGGTACTATAAAGACTGCGAAACAGCATCTAGGGAAAAATATCTAGTACGAAAGAAATGGCAAAGGACAGGTGGAGAAGAATACTTTGAAGAGTATAGG